AGAAATCTGCTACTTCCTTACAGAGCCCCTCCTCCAACACACACGAACGCGCACATGACCAATGAGGGCACGAGATAAGTTTGTGCACAGATGGAAAGCTGACAGGCAGGTAGGCCATCCAGTTATTTTAGCCGGGCCGGCTAAAATGATTGGTCGTGCTTTTTACAGTACTACTAGTACTACTATTTTTTTATGGATTTTTTGTCAAAGTACTTAAGATATTCATTGCTATCGGGATGTTAAGAGCATTCCATGGAATATAACAAAAAGTGTATCTCGAGCCGGTTTCACAAACGTACCTACCCCACCTTTAATACAGATATAACTTAGTCACAGATAACGCTGTAAAATCCAGTATATTGTATGTGACTCATGCGCCAAAGTGTCCCTCCAGGCCTCCTCTCCACTTCAAATGTATTTGCATGTCTAAAGCAGTAGAATCATTAAGAGGCAACCAACCACAGCGACACAGTGTCATTGCTCAGTGCCTCCCTGGAGCTGCTGGAGCAACGTCAGCCTTTAGAGAAAGCAAATCAGAGAGTCTCTACAGGTCCCCTATGGGAGGAGAAGAGAGCTCTTATTCTAACTCGGTGGAAAATGCCTGCACCCACAGGGGCACCGTTACACACAGCTGGGATAATAATAAGTATCACAGGGAGACCCGCGATTCACCAGCAAACTGACACCAAAGCATGGATTTCTTCCCTATTCACCGTTGCCCCCAAATTAGCTCATCCTAAAAAGCCAATGGAAAGCCTTCCCCCTAGCTTTAGAAGGGCTTTAGAATGTAGGAGACAGTGTGCCATGTAATACAGGATGTAGTGTATAGGACCACAGGGGAAAGTGGATGGGGTGAAGCAGTGTGGGGCTAGCTATTCTCTGGAATGCAAGCTTTAATCAAAACACTTGAAATACACGCTACGCAAGGACTACAAAAACGTTCATTTTGAATGTACTGTATCACCCTTTATACTTTCTTTAATGTATCCCTTAGTTTCCCATTACATATCTTTAAGGTTGGTAAATGTATCTTATGTGTCACTCTTTTGTGGTATTATATTGAATATTGTGATTTAAACCTATGTTTTTTTATCTATTGAAAATTATTGTATAAATATTTCTTACAATTTCAACTTACATATTGGTTATATTTGTAATTGTTGGATCAGGAAATCATGTACTGTAACTAATGTCTCAATCTGTTGATACCATACTTTAATGTAGCTTGTTCAGAATGATGTTTGAAATGTATCTATAAAATAAAGATGATTTAACTGTCAATGCATTCATCATTATAGGCTTTACTAGATTTAAGTAGCGTTTGGATCAGCCAGAGAGAGATTAATTTCCATTGTTACAGGGTCAAATCAGCAAGGGATTGCAGGAGTTCAAGCCAAGGATTACATTTGTCACAGTAAAAGTGTACCAGTGTGTTTATACGAAGGCACCGACAGAATACATAGCAAGTGAGAGCCATAACTTCAATGTGAATTTCACTTCAAGAGACATTAGCATAAAGCCTTTGCTTTATCAACCATACTTCCATGGAAGAGGAAAAATGTATGCCTCACTAACACAAAAGCCTTAAGTCGCCCGAGGCCCACCTCCCCTCCTACTATCTGTTTCCTCTCTCACTTTCTTCAGCTCACTCTGCTCTCTCCCTCTCTGGCATTCAGCTTAATAAGTTAGCGTGAATAGCCGTGACCGAATATAATGCCTAAGACCTGCTAGCAGGCTGTAAATGTAGCCCTAATGGCTGAACCATTATAACATTAGGTACAGACTCCGCCGCAGTGAATGTGTTGCTGCAGGCAAACTGAGGTGGAGGAAGGCAGGACGCAGGGGGATGAGGAGCTCCTTCTCAATTAGCTGATTGAATTGGAAACCAGTGTTTGCCTCACCTCAACAGAAAATGAGATGTAAACACTTGGTGGGCTCAGGAAAATGGCATATGAAAGTATTGTAACACGTACAAGTCTACTTCACCACCCAGCAGTAACACACAGGTAGTCTAATGTGTTATAACATCCACCCCATGTTCTTCCTGAGCCACAGTGAAGGCCTAATGGACCATGGCATGCTGGAGTCGCTGGCCGGCTGTCTTACACTACACATCTCACATTAGGATCCAACATTTACCCAAGTCTAATGTCAGATTTAATAAATGATATATATATATATATATATATATATATATATATATACATGTGATATGGCTTTGTTGCGGAGAGTGTGGTGAGATGAGGGAGGAATATGAGAGGCTTGACAACCCATAAGTGTTTCTTTTCTTTGTAACCAGGTCAACGGCCAAGATATTTCTGTACAGAGAGTAGGGGAAGGGATGTGAGTAATGGGGGTTGTGGTGAATAGTTAAACACAGAGTAGTAGTATGGGATGTAAAAAGCATGTTTTTATCCCAGAAAAACATGCATGTAATGGACAGAGTCGGAGAGGAAAGGCTTTCTGAGAAAGACAAGCCTGTACAAACCACAAGGGATGATTAGATGTCATTAACAGTTTCCTAATCAGTCACGAAACACATCTGTTTGTGGAGGAGGCGTAACTTGAAGGGGAAACAAAAGTCGTGTTAGAGTGAGGTGGGAAATGCAGCCCACACATGCAACTTGGAGTCAAATACAGATCTTAAATGATGAGGAACAGCAGCGTGTATTACAGGAGCTTAGGATAAAAGCACGCACCATAATGTAATGGGAATATGCTTTCCACACATTTGTATCCAGTCAGGGAGAAAAGTTAACAGTGTAACCTCAGTTTGCCCTGCGATTGCCTGCTAAATGTTTCAGCTGACACAGTAATTATGCACTTTGCACATATTACCATGAATCTGACAAACCCCCGCTTGCCATTGGTGTTGTTGTGATTGCAGCTTTGCAGGCATCTGCATTTCAAACACCTGCCACCTTTTATAGATAACTAAACCCCGCATGAGCCCTGCCAAAGGCACTGGCTGCACTGTGTCACAGACTGAGTGCCTTAACACCTAGTGTTATGATATAGATCATATCATTCAAAGTTTTGCGCATTTAGATTTTCTTAGGGAAATAATTAGTGGGGTGTATCTGACAGGAGCCGCTAACACATTGCTCTTTGGAGTTAGAGTTTAGGTTACGGTTGAAAATCATCCAGCCTGAGCTTGATGCTGAATTTGCTTGACAAATGTTAGCTGAGAGCAGGCTTTGCTGTTTGCAGCACAGAATCATATTCAGAGGAGACAAGGCACAGGATATGCCCATGCATTAATGAGCATACACACTTGCTATATTAAGGACATCTTATGATGTTGAGAGGTAGCCCTATTTGCACAATCCACATATTGGCTGTCTCCGACAATTAAGGTCTCTAAATTGTCAGCTTCTCTTTATGTCCAACTCCTCCTCTGTGATAAGTGAAGATTTAATGAGGGAAATCAACATGGGATGGTGGGTTTAACTCTGGTCACGTCAAGTGCGGATGAAACGCCCCTCATATATTTGACAACATACATAAATGAGATGTTGTACAAAGGCTGCACTGCAAAGAGGTTCCGAATATATATCTACTGTACATGTAGCTATATAAATCATTTCTAAAGCAGGTAGAAAATACTGCAGTTAAAACTCAGGATTCATGCCTTTATTCATGAATATATTATTTTAATTGGGCTGTTTGATTTAGATTTGACCTTCCATGATAGGTCAATAGACAGCAGATGTTACTGTATCATTTGCAATACTTTCTAGAAATGAGTTTTCGACTGAGTTGCCTTGGGTACAGCAGGTGTTTTGATTAAAAGAGCTCTAAATAGAATACAAGGTTTTAATCATTAAAAATCAAGTCTGTGAACACATATTTGAACAAGACAGGCCATAAGGTTGAGGTTATAAGATGTATGTGGTTACTCATGGGAAGAGCTAATTAAGTGGTGGTCTTTTGGGTCACACTCAGTCATCTGTTCTCAGACTGAATGTAGTCAGGCAGTGGCCCCTACGGGCTACCATCTGTAAAGCAAAGCCGATGCTGCTCGGCAAAGCCTTACTGTCTTTTTTCTCTTGTTGTAGGAGCTTGACAAGTCGGACTACCTCTTTGCGTTGCACGGCAAAATACAAATGAGTGTCAGTATACTGTGCTGCACATAATGAGTGAGTCAGAGAAACATGCTGCAGGTCATGTGTGAAGACACTCGCACATGCGCACGCACACACACATGTACAGGTCTGTAATAATAACACAAACATAAACACAGGAGCGCCAGTTTAGGCACGCGCACACAGCCCACTCCAGCTGCGTATCTGAGACTGCTGACGAATTATTTCTCCGTTTGACTTGATTTGAGCCTTTACCTCTGACAGGACCAGTTGGAGAAATGCAGCCGGAGTTGTCCTCGGATCGTGGGGTGTGAGTTGTTGTGTCTGTGGGTGACGTTGGGAGACGGGGGGCGCTCTGCTCTGCTCTGCTCAGTGCAGGACGCAGGAGACAGTCGCTCTCCAACGTGCTGAAAGTAGGAGCGCTCCCGCCTCAGTCTCGCCTGCTGACGGTTAATGCGACCTCTGCCGAAAAATCGAAAAACAAACAATGACTGGCTTCAATCCCATTTGGTTTAATTTGTCTTACTTCTACCCTTCTGGATTTGTATTTGCCATGAAACCGCTGGATGTATACACGCACGCAACAAGACTGACTGTAGCTCTCTAACATTCACCTGCGTATGGGGAAATATTGAAAAGACTCCGGATTCTCGGGGAACGCTATAGAGGATTTCTCTAGCTGTTCTTTTCTCTGTCTCTGTCTCTCTGTCTGTGCCGCATGCCTCTGGACGTGAACTGTTTGTCTCCAAAAGGTGAGTCCGGAGAGGATTATCATGAAGCAGACCTACTTTTACGTGGATATCGCTTTCTTTTCACTGGAAAAGGAGAATCATATCTCCAAAAGGCTGGTGTTTAATTGCTTTTAAATCCATCATCACGACCAGAAGGGAGGATTATAGTATTTGGAGTCTGTTGAATTTACCCTGTGGATAAAGTGAAGTTTCCAATAGGCTATAGGGGACTGTCTTTAATCTGCTGTAGCCCTCTCTGTGTTGGGCGCTCTGGCTTCACACTAAGTGGATATCAAGCTATTTTAACGCGGTGAGTTTGCCCTATCCTGCACTACACATCCCTGTTGTCACTGGCATTTCGATTGATCTGTCAAAACATGCAGCAATTAGAAACAAAATGATTTCAAGCCGAGGGAAAATATGTATTTTCTGCTCTCATTCTTGCTTTACTGTGTTGATTGATGCTGTGGTTTTCCCTTTCACAGTGAGTGATGCATTTGGGGTTAAATCATTGCGCATTTATGATTCAGGACATTAGCATGTTACATTGCTAAATTTAAGAGCAGGTTAGTTCAGAGTCTGAGCAGTGTCTTTAGACTAATGTCTATAATCGTTGGCTTCAAAGAAAAAATAAACCAGCTACCTGTTGTCTCTAATCGCTCTCATAGAGTTTGAATTAAACAAAGGTAGGTTGTGTTGTATTATATATGGAGAAGAATACTGCGAGGACCCACTCCACCCACTTCAGATAGTGAATGATTTAAACATTTTTCTCTGAAGTTAAACGTCCCCACTGCTGCAATTTTGCATGAAGAGAATTTGAATCTGCACACCCCCCACATCACGTCACGAGCGCACATATAGAGCACTACACGCTTCGTTTGTCAACAAAGATTTGTTTTCCTTCGGGAATAATGACATTAGCCTGTTGAGTGACCTGCATGGGGGGGGGGGTCAGGAGATACAATAATAACTTGTATGATGATCTCTATAAGGCTGTTAGCGTACAAATGCACAGGCGTGCACAAGTGAAAAGTAGGCTATTTAGGATGAGAGGTGCTAATGAGGATGTGCCAAAACAACAGCAGTGGAGTCATCGTCCATCATAGGCTATCATCTCTTATTTTTCCCCACTGCAGCCTCAAGTGATGATGATGCTGACGAGAGTAATGAGGATACCGGGAGCGTAGCGATGACATCCACACAATCTTGTTGAATGTGGACATCAATGCCGCGGCGAAGGATGGGCCCTCTCCTCTTGGCCGCCTTCCTGTTCCTGCTGGCCCTGAGCGCCGTGTCCCCGGCCTCGGTGGGAAACCCCGAGGATTACACCGCAGACGAGGCGGAGCGGACCGCCAGTGAAAACATTGTATTCGATGACTACCGGGGGAAAGGGTGCGTGGATGACAGTGGTTTTGTCTACAAACTCGGGGAGCGCTTTTACCCGGGACACTCGAACTGTCCGTGCCAGTGCACGGAGGACGGGCCTGTGTGCGACCAGCCCGAGTGCCCAAAACTGCACCCAAAGTGCACAAAAGTGGAGCACAATGGATGCTGCCCCGAATGCAAGGAGGTTAAAAACTTTTGCGAGTACCGGGGGAAAACGTATAAAATACTGCAAGAATTCAAGGTAAGATCTGATTTCTAGAATTCAACAGAGATCTTTTAATTTGCAACGTGATGGCACATTTCTAGCTGGTTGGTTGTCATCAAACTTTTCAATTATACTATGCTTCTCTCTCATATAAGAGGTAACATTCATGTGTAAAAAATAAATAAAAAATACAATTCGCAATCTAATTATTGACCTTCCATTTGATATATGTCTTCCAGAATATTCACAGCAGTTGATATGCTATGAGGTCACATCTAAACTTCTATAAGGGATAGTGCCCAACTGATGCTAGTTTGTTTCAGGCTGCCTTGTTCAACGTCTGTATGCCACTGAAGCACACATCTTACATGGCAGTCTGTAAATGTCATATACAGACATTTACATAGACTTGCATGTTCATGTAAAATGACAGATACCAATCAATTGAAACACAAAAATAAATCTAATGTCATGATGATGTTATGTTGGTTGATGCCACTGTAGAGGATGAATATTACGTGCAGTGCACCCCCACAATGGTATAGGTCTGATGATATTTAACATTTACTAGGAACAGCTCAACATTGACCTGTGTGGGAGGTTATAAGGGTCTGGGTTAGTGAGGCCTCCTATTTGTGTGAGAATATATCACCGCTTGGCAGACTGTAAAAGTATCATGAAAATGTGTTTATTGGCCAATAAGGGCACAAAGATGGCTGCCTTTCAGAGTGATGTCATCCATTCCTCTGTGCCATTTAGTGAAAATGCACCCGGCATTACTAAACCGACAGATGCTCTAGAGTATTTGAATGCTTTGATATACTGAGTCATTGCAGGCAGATTCAGTTCCTCCATGTCTCCTGTGACTGCTTCTACCCACCAGACCAGTGTCTCAGCAGTTGTTTTAGAGCTTGACAGTGCTACCTGATTAGAAATAGCAACATTAGCATGACAACTTAAGTCTGTGTTTAAACTGTTGCCCATGAGGAAACATCCTCATTCATATTCCTCACAAGTGGATTGGCGCTGTAAGTGATGGAAATATAATATGACATAATGCAGCCTAAACAATGGTATAGCTATAGTTAATCAAGGCATATGCGCATGTCCGTGAAAATATATTAGTAACTGGTTGGTATGTGTCAAATATAGTTGGTCAGCCAAATGCTTTACAATTCCAATGGATAACTTTATAACATTTTGGATGTACTGATTTGATCAAGAGTATTCAGGTCTAAAGTAAGCTTGAAGACACTTTATCACCTGCATTTATCCCTTTCTGGTTCCAAAAATTACATATTATGACCTAATGTTAGAGAAAGAAAAGCTAAATCTAGTTAACCCAACATGTGTGTGTAAGGGTAGCATGAGTACATGGCCAAATGGATTGGATCTTTCTAAACTTTCGCCTATTTGTTACCTAAGATTTATCCACAAAAAGAGCCAACACTTTTTTCCATTACAAGAAAATGGGAGACACAAACCAACAACAGCTCTGCGACTAATGGATTATCCAGTCCAGTGCACACATGATTTATGTCTATATTTCAGTGAAGAAGAGCACTTTTCAGTCTATTTTGTGCATACAATTCAAAAATAATAAGCACTCCAGAACTAAATGGATGGATACTTGAAAATAAGCTTGCAAAAGCATCTTCAACATTAACGAGCATTGTCAGAGGAAGATTTGCTGGGAATTCAGCGGTGTTTGTAACCACACAACTGAAAGCATCACAGCTGTTAGCACTAAAATGCTATAAAATTAGCTTTGAAAGAAAAGGACTACTGAATAACCTACATTATTAGCCAAATAATTATACAACTACAAGTGAACTTGGAGGCAGCAGAACAAGCTGTAAATTCAACATTTAACTATTATTACATTTTAAAGTTTATCTTTTAAATGTGTTAGCAAACAGTTGCTCATTAAGCCAGCTGAAGAATATAAGTCCATTATTCACTTTATTTTAGCTCTGGTTTTGGTCTCCACCATCTCTTGAGAATATCTGGCTCTTTAACTGCTAAATGTTCAACTACGTTTACTAGCTAGCTGCTTTCTGTGTCTGTCTGTGCTTTACGTTCTTGCACAAGAAGTATGCAGTTTATTTAGCAGAGTTTTTTGCTATAATCAGGTGATCAATTAACCAACACATTTGAGTTGCAAGCCGTAAAACTAAAATTAGCTGAAGGATGCTATTTTGTAGCGTTGAAAGGACAGGCTGTGCATCTGTGATCACTTTCTGTAGGTCTGCCACCTCAAGCAAAGCTTTTTTGAACAATACAAACATTTATTTACCCATTATTCATATCATTTAAATACGCTGAAGATAACAATCATGGTTGAAAAGCTGACTGCTGTTATTATCAGAGGAGTATGAAGCTGGGCTGTCTGTGCTGAAGACAAATGCCGATACCACCTGTTAGCAAACTGAAATCACTTGTTCGGAATAGCTGCATTTCAACATCATTTGCAGCAAGTAAATATTTACACAAAGGGTTATTATTGAAACCTTTCAGCAATGTATTGCCATGCCAGGCTTCATCAGACTGTTTTGTTATCTGTGGCAGGTCTTTGTTTGTTTCAGTTAGTTTACATAATGACTCCAAGGCAAAGCAAAGAAACCTCTGCTGGGAGATGTTAGAACATGTTGCACCTGTGACTATTAGCATGTCATGTCACTGGAACAAGTTGAAGCAGGCAGGGGGGCTTACACAGTGAGGTTAGCCACATACAATGTAGACAAGCATGTTTATTAATAATTATGTCTGTGGAAATGCTAAAGGCAAAACTGGAAGGAAACAACTGTGGTAAGGAATTGTCCATCAGTTTTTAATTTAAAACTTTTATTTATACAACCTTTTTAATTCCGATGAATGAGTGGCTAGTCAGTATTCTGGTAATTCAGTATAAAGCATAGTGTTTTATGCCGTAGGGGCCATTATGCTAATGCTGACACAATTAATTGACAGTCAACATAAAAATGCAGCAACAAGTCAGATATGCAACTTCTGATTGACACTGAATAAAATACCTTTGGGCTCCAAAATTGTTTATTGGACAAACAAGCAATTGGAAGATGGAAAAATCTGATGGGGAATTTCCCTGTTTTTTCAAATTAAATGTTTGTATTTAATTCAATAATATGTTTTGACGGCTTTATTGCCTCGATTAGATTGTAAATCGACATGAAACAGGGAAAGGGGGCCAATATGGAGCAAAGGACCATTGGTCAGATTCAAACCTGCATGGGATACTGTGGTACTCGGCCTTAGTAAATGGGGTGCTCTATTTAATGTTATTGCTACTTGTGTACATACATTATGCACTGGCACAACACAATGACAGTGACATAGTGTTGATGTTAGTAAGGGGTGAGCTGGATCATGTTCCTAATCTGTACTGATTGGTTTGCACATCACACAGATACAAGCAAAGTCCTGCATTGAGATGCAAGCCCACAGATTTCTGTGAGGGCAGTTGTGAGTGCATAAGCCTCGCAGTTTGATGTGAGATCAAGTCCATCAATAGTGCAGCTCACCCTCATGCTAACCTTGACTGGAGAGCCCAGAGAGGGAAGGGCATCTCTTCACACTTGATGGAGAGAAAAGCATGAATTTGTTCTTATTGATCATCTCAGGGAAAGTGCCATGACAGAAATAAGGAGGGGGGGGGGGGGGGATGTGTCCGCCTCCCGTATCTTAGACTGCACAAGTAGCTCCGGTGTCTTGGTCTACATCCTGAGCGAGGGGCTGGGTCTCTTCAGTGAATACATGAAAGCTTCGGGACCATACAGTGTTCAAGTAAATCAAAGGCTGTCAGTATCTGGTGTTCAGAGCCCAGTTTAGAGATGCAGACAGGTTGACCTTTGGTGTGGCCCTCATTGGCATTTCCTTGGCAGTGCTCGTGCTACATTGTGCAGACGTTTGCATTTATATTCAGTTGCAGATGATGGAGATGAAACGCAAAGACACAGCAATGTGAGATTGATAACAGAGAGACATGTGGTCAGTTTGAAGCCTCTGGGTTGCTCGGAGAATGAATGAAGAATGACTAGGTATACATAGTGTGGCATCAACCACATTTTTTACACATTTTGCTGAAAATGTCATCATGCTAGAGCTCAGTCTTTAAGTCCAATGTAAGTCGAATATGCAGTCATTCTCATGCAAGTGGTTTTGGGCATTCATTCAACATAAATCAGCTGACTGTGGTGCAATGTCAGCCTGTCATTTGTTGAATCTAATGCTGGTATAACTCATACCTCAGCAACCTGATAATAAGCCTAAAATACAGTACTCCACTATCAAAGTATTTACTGGTACATTGTATCAAATGGTTGATATAATGTAGATATTTATAGATTTACCACCAGTGGGTGTATGTTCTACTCTTTTGTTTTTTTGCCCTGTGAGAGAGTCGTGCCACTCAACCTTAGTAGGTATTTCACCTCCAGGGTTCCCCATCAGATGAGGAAGGGTCCAGTCTGTCCAGCATGGCTCCAGCGCAGCTTCAATCAAGAACCAGGAGCTATAGGGTGAGTTCAGATCCCAGATCGTCAGGCTAGGGCTGGGATGTGAACTCAAATGTGAACAATCCTTTCCGTGCTTCCTGCGATCCCCCTAGAGAAGGGATGCAGTGTGGGAAAAGGGGGGAGGGCTCCAACATTTGCTGTGTCAGAGGCACACACAGAACATTTCAGACTATCTTGAATAATTCCTCATTTAGAGGCAAGTAATGTTAATTCATTCATTTGAAATAAATATAACTGATAAAAAAATGCAATCTTAATATATGTCCTAAGACATAAGATCCCCACGAGGCAGCTACTAATCTACTGTAGTTAAAGCCTACTACTGAGTGGGGCTTGAATATCGAGGCATTATCATTTTCACATCAACACAACATTTTACCATTCTGCACTGACAATAGATGCAAGTGAAAATGCCTTTGTCTTTGCGACTTGTCTGTTTCTCGTGACTTCTGTCAATACAACAAGCCTTTGCTAAACTCAATGCGTGATCATAGAAATGTGCAC